GTCTGTCAACGTCGACAAGACGTCCGTCATCTCCACCCGTGACATTATTTACTAACCAATCAATAACCAAAGCATTTTCAGGTACATTGGGTGCTTGATAGACCGCTCTATGAATATGGCGCCCCAGGTCCAGTACTCAGTTTGACAGGCCAGGGCAGCTCGAGCGGTCCTATACCTTGTTCTGGCATCTAAGCTACCAATAAAAACCAAAATCGGTGTCTACAAGACGTACTCTCGCGCTTGACCTACGCCGCTGCGGCGTGGTACAGTCTGGTTTCCGACTCGCAAAGGCGCAGGCTCCAGGCGCAGCAGAACGTCGCCTTTCGAGCGATCGTGGTGGCTGGGCGTTACGTCAGGAATGACGTAATTGCACGATTGCACAATTGATCTAAACGTTGGGACCATCGAAGAGGTTGTGGTCCGGTTGGCCCGTCGCATGTACGACAGGGCCGACAACGGACCACACCCACACTTGCATAATATTGCACCCCTCCACGCCCGTCCTCCTGACAGACGCCCGTTCCCACAAGAGCTACTGAGGTCGGAACAGGCAACTGGGAGGCCAGACCCGACCGCACTTCCGCCGTGTCGAAGACGATGTCGTCCCCGCGTTACACACCATGTGTAACGCTGTACATCCGCCAGTGCCGCTACCGCAGTCAGAGTAAGGGATGGCCGATGGCCATCCTCCCCACCGACCAGCCTTCTGCTGGTCGAGACTACGCCCGAGTCCTGGGGATTACCCCGACACTCGAAAACAGCAGGCCTTGTGCCAGCTAACATACATAGTGCAACAGCGAACGGTATTGTGTGGCTCTACCACAGTTAAAATTTTCAGTTAAAATCAGTACATTTTCTTTAATTTATGTGATTCAGAGCTATCACATAGCTCAAAGTCCGGGTGCTCGCCTTTCATGACATTGCTCTATTGTCAAGTGCTCGACGGTGAAGGAAAACATCGTGAGGAAACCTGCATATTTTCAAAATAATAATAAAAATTATTTCGAAAGTATGTGAAGTTCGCCAATCCGCAGTGGGGTCACGTGATGGAACTATGTCCTGATACCCTCTTTACAGAGGAGGCATTTGCCCAGCAGTGAACATTTATAGGCTGTTACTTTTTTACTTTTTATATAAGTAGATATCATCACCATGCGATGTCTGGATATTTCAAATAAGACAGTGATTTATATTACTGCGAGGACAACGAAATTATGGCTTTTTTTCTAAGAGCATCCCGGTAAATTAATGGTCATCAAACATTCCTGACCATTTCCTCATGGTGGTAAATGAAAGTAATCTTAGGAAGTATCCACCGAGGTCGGAGAGCGACTTTAAGCTTAAACTAGTGGTTGTCTAAAGGTCAGTCATTGAATAATGTCCGACCCGAATGGTTAAGTGAATAGTGAACCTATTTCTTACGGCAGGGGGTTTGGGTTCGATCACCACTACTGAAAAATATTGTGTGATGAAAATAGTGTTTTTCTAGTGTCTGGAGGTTTACGTCTATAATATGTATTTTTTTTACAAAAGAAAAGTATATTATTATCCACAGTACAAGTTTTGCTTGGTTTGGAACTAGATAACATTGTATAAAAATATGTCCGCAGATTTGGTGGCTTCAATATTTACAATGCATTACGGTTGCAATTGAAAGCAGAAAGAGTCAACCAAATGGCAGACGAACTCTTTGCTTGTGTGGATTACGGGGACGATTATTTACTAAATTGAAAAAAAGCAAAAAATTAAGTCGATAATTTTGGTTTAAACTTTTAGTTTTCACATGAAACACGGCGTTTTAATTTTCGAAATAAGGGTGTTGTGCTTTAAAAATTACGGATTTCGCAACTCCCGTATTTTAAAGAGCTCCCTGTAATGCGTACTCAGTTTGATATAGATATCAATATTCCACATCTCTTCTACATGACTACTTCACGTGTCCGACCCAATAAATAGGTATAGTATTGGCCATTCATCGCAGTCCCTTTAAGTAAGTAATAGAATTCCCTCGTTATCACAGAAAAAGGAAATCATAATCTAAGACACCGACTTTTTTAGTTTTGCATTTCTTTAGTGGCATTTCTCCTTTCTTATCCACTGCAATGTTTGGATTCGGGTCCATCATATTGGCGAATCTATGTTTCATCAACTGATACGTCTTGGTTACAATTTTTTTCTAAATCACTGTGACACAATTCCAAAAAAGAATTGCAACTGATTCCATGATATTTTTGGGTATTATCTTTTTTCATAAGCATAAACGTTCTTGTAAAATTAAGCCGATTCCTTCTTTGCTAATCTGCAGCTCTTCTGCTATCTGCCACAATTTAATTCTGCCATCGGCCTACCTTAACTTTGCAAAATTTTCTTGCGTGACTTCCGTCACTGGGCGGTCCGGCTGCGAGTCGACTTCACTGGTCTCTCTTCCTTGTATAAATAGCGAAGTCCATTTTTAAAAATAGTGTAAGAAGACCCAAAAATTGGAGAACAGAAATTTCTCTTGACGCTTGTCCTTTTTGGACAAGGAACTTAATCACTACGCGGTGAAAATTGCACGATTTCTTTTGTTGAAAATGGTGATCGTTCGTTCCAGAGAATAGTGAACCAAATTTCAAAAAGGGTAACAACCCTTTTGATAAATAACAATTTATACTATTAATGAGTTGCTTTACTAGTGGTACCTTAAACGCGACGATGCGTCATCGAGAAGTAAGTTAGGCCGCGAACTTATCACGCGTCGTCCCTCGTATAACAGTATCGTTAACTCAAGCAATCTGGTTGTTCCACGAGCTCTCCATTCAATGTAGACATTTCAGTATATTATAGACTCTCAAGTCACTCAAAACCGCAGTATAAGAAAATTTGTCGGTAATAATTTTGTCTTTAGAAACGTACTTTTACCGAATTCATCGAATGTTGTTTTTATTGAAGTCTTAAATCCTTAAAATGAAATAATATGGGGTACTTATTTCACAAGGAGTATTTGATACTAATGATAATGTGTATACCAAAAGCCTGCGAGTGGCTTTTAAAATGATCCGTTGTTCTTATGGAAACGAATCTTTTTAATAATTTTTTTTTTGTAATAGATGTTACTTTCCAAATAAATTCATTTAATTATCACTCAAAGAACTCTCGTTTCCAATAACGACTAATAATTTTCCTTAATTTTGAATCAATTTATTTATATTTTTACATGCCGTTAAAATTGTTTTGTTCATTAAGTCATCGTATTGCACTTCCTTCGTCGACCTTCGTTTTATACGTTTCGGCGTATTTCGTTGTAGCAAAGTCGATGTAATTTTTTATTTTGAGATATTACACAAAATTGTATTATATTTTCGTTAAATAAAAAGAGCTCTGGAATGAGGTGAAGATTTTATCTGAAAATATTACCTTAAATAATTGATTTTGGGAATCGTTGGTGGTTGACGTTTTGTGCAAGCAATTTTTACTTGTCCAATTACCAATAGCTAATAAAAAGCTAAAATATCATAACAATCAGTGTAAGACTCAATATGAACAGCGTCAAGAACGTTTGATTTTGGTTTTATTTCGTGAATTCGTTGAATTTATTTTTATCAACCTGAAAACTCAACAAAAAAAGTAAGGCATCTTGTTAGATACGCGGAGAATGATTTCAGCAGCTCTTTACATATCTGAAATTCGAGCAAAGTTCGGCCCAGCACTTACCAAAATGACAATGATCCAATTGTTACTATTGATAGATTACGTCAAAATTAATTAAACAATTTTGTTAACCCTTGATTAATCCTGCTAAAGTCAGATATAAAAATCAATTTTTATTGCCTAATCGATATATTTATATACCATAGATTTTATTCTAAAGTAAACAATAAACGGTATTTATTTCCTTTGAAAAAAAAAAGAACGAATTGAACAGATCGCAGTGAGGAATTCACGCGGCCGCGCCACGAGATTTTGTGTGTTCCGACTGGGATATCCGTGGGCGCTTATCGACCGCCGGAATCACCGAATCACATTTCGCCAGTCAACCCTTTCCAGTGAGCGGCGGCCTTTAACCACCCTCGCCTCACTTATTCACGAGCCACGCTAATGACTCGGCAGGCGGCTAACCCGCGCCGCTCGTCTTCCCACTCCATGTTTTTTCCGACACGCAGTTGTGTGGGGGATTTTTTTTTTAATTGCTTTTGTTTATTATTGGTAATGAGCGGCAGCTACGGTCGCTTCCGATTGCACCTTAACTTTAAAACGTTGCATTTTAAATATGACGTCAGAAATTATATTAGTACCCGTTTGTAATATTCATAAAAACTACTTCTGTTCGCTTTTGATGTATAAAAACACGTCGCCTTGTTACTCTCGTCGGTCGAGCGACGGTTCAGCGCTTTTCGCCCACGGGAACTGGTTTCGTGGAGCGCTCTTTTGAACTCGCAAACTGCGAAGCATTTGCGACTGCACTAATGTTGTTACACAATCGGCCCCGAATCCTTTATAACACTTTGATCGGAATCGGCACGCATATGTTTATGTTTATGAACTCTAATATGGACAGTGTAAACGGTACAACGCTTTAAATGAAGGAAAGGAAGGAAAAACCTTTTAGTGTCGGCACCAGGGGGCAGGGGAAGAGCTGGGTGCTTAGGGGTGCGGTCGGCGGTGGGAGGGAGAGTTATGTAGTGACGCGATCACGTGTACATTTTGCAGCCTGTATTGATCCCGTCGTCTTTTTCTTGTTGAATGCGACAATCCTGCGTGATTTTCCCTCAATTTGGGGTCTCGTTGGTTACGATTAAAAATATAATTGGGTATTGGTGGTGAATTGGAAAATGAATGTAATACTAAATACAGAAATCACGTTCTATGTGGTTTCATATTGTTGTAAGTTGGTGATTTATAAAAAAATCATTTTAAATCGCATAGATATGCGTGTACGGCGGGAGTAGTTACGACTTTTTATGTATTTGGTGGTATCACTCCTTGGCGGTTGACGTGGTGCTATAAGCTAATTATGCACAATGACCGGATCACTGGACGCGGCGAATGCCGACGTTGTTACTCGAATGGCGTTTATATTGGTAACGAGTGGAAAGCTTAAAAATAGCCATCGGGGTGCACCTAATTCGTAGGTTGCGCTCCGTGTGGACTCGGTAAGATGTATATGGTTTCGGCCGCGCAACGCCTGTCCGCAGTGTTGTATAATGCCAGGTGGCGTGCAGGAGCTTTACAGAGCCCGATAGCGGCGCCGTGCTGTGCCACTTTGCCCCGAAGCAGAGTCGACGTTTTGGGTGCGTGCCATTATTTCCTCGTTTCGTTTTTATTTTAGTTCAAACGCAATTACTGCCCGCGCTTCCCCCCCCCCCTCCCCTCTTCTCCCCCCTCATTCTTTGTCGATATCGAATCGAAGTACCTACCTACATACTTGCGCGTTGTCTTCAATCCGCCTCGGCGGGCGTTTAGTTTAGCGCAGCGGCGAAACTAGTCGCCATTCCACTATTTAATGCGGAATAAATATCTCTTTTTACCATCTGGCGAGTGGTGGTAGCGCTTTGCGGAAATGGAAACTTGACACAAGGTCGAATAATTAATCTCAGCGGTGATAGTTGATGCTCTGAATCGATAGAAAATGTCTATTAAAGGTCGTTACTAGCTTTGTTTCTTTTTTCTCATTTTAGCTTTAATCGGAAGACAAAAGTAGTAGCTGGCGAATGTTACATGTAATTTTTACTTTTGTCAAAATAGATCTTTACTAGACAGCTCGTTACGGTGTTTTAAGTCAATCGCATCGCCTAGGCAACTAACAATATTTATTGTGTCGCTCTATCGCGATGTTATCCGAGGGGCAGTCGAAGCGGTCCGCGGCAATTGTACGCGCGGCACATTATTCACTCGTGGCGTTCGGTGCAAAAGCGGTTCGGCGTCGGCCGCGCGAGGCATTCGCCGACGTCAGACAACAGACGGAAAGGAGGCGTGAGAGCCGGCGGAGTCGGGCGCGATGCGAGATTGTGTGCGCGCGCTCTATTTTGGTCGCGGTGGCACACTCGGCGGCTAATCGGCACGTCACGTGACGAGCGCCGGAAGGACGCGGGGCGCGGGAGGGGGCCGCGGGGCGCGGGCGGCGCGGCGTCGGAATGCAGCCACCACCGCTCGATGCACGGCCCGCCGATTGATCGGCCGGCCTGCCCTCGTCGCCGCTACTTAGCATTCTATTATTCCACAGCATTCGTATTTGTGTTGGCCCCGCACGGTCGCTATTCAATCGCAAGACTAACCCCCCGCCCGCGCTTTACTTGTTGTCTTGGCTACGAGTTTACCCAGGCTGTATGGAATGACAGTCATCGCCCAACACCTGCAATTCACACTAACTGTTGTGCCTCGCGAAAAAATACGGAAACCACCTAAATGACAATTGAACACCAACGCTCCGCCGAGACAGGTGGCACACCGTTCTGTTTTACGTACGAGATGTTTTATTGGCGCAACGGTCGTTACATTTCAATATCGTCCATGTTAGGATGAAATTGTTGAATAGCGGTGGCAATTGCAGCGCGCGGATTGCAGGCGATCACCCACCCGCGCGCGCCTCACCCCGCCACCCCGCTCTCGAACGCCGTAAGTAAACAGTCTGGTGTTTATCCGCGTCTCGCTCGCACCGAACGCGTCGCGTCGCGCCTCCGAGGTGCACTCGCTGTTCCTATTATTTTCGTGACGGGTATTGCGCCGAAGCCGATTCCCGCATCCTCGCCCCAGCGGAGACGCGAGGTCCGGTCTCGCGGCGGAGGCGGCGGCGGCGACGGCCGCTCGCACATCGCGCGCCACTCCACGCCCGAGGCTCACTGTCGCATCGGTGCGCGCCTAATGAAACGCCCGCGTTTCCGTCGTCGGCCCGCCGCGGACGTTTAGCGTCGACGCTCGGTCGAAATCGAGAATGCGTCGCGCCCCGGCGGCGGACGGGAAGAGTGCGCGCCGCGGCTGACGGGACCCCGACCGGTGTACTCGATCGCTATACTCGCTGCGCCGACAATCTGATCTGACGGTGACGTGCTGGTGTTTGTGGTGTGCGGATTGTGTACCGGTGTGCTGATGAGACACGTGCATGTGGATGGGGCGCGGTGCGGAGTCGGAAGATGCATTTCAAGGAGTCGTTCGCGATGAGCGATCGTCCGAACGAGCGCGGCCGCCGCAACTCCCGCTGCAAGGGTGGGTGTCCTCACCGCGGCGGTCGACGAGAGACCCTCGTCGAGTTTTGCCAAAACAGCTGTCGTGTCTTGTCGACGTGCACGTAGTGCGTTGTCTTTAGGGATACAGTTAGAACTGTACAAATACTGTTACAATAATATTGCGTTGCTCACATAATGTACCCGGTTAACGATTACCATACGTCAATGGGGTTAAATAGTTTTAAAGTTTACTTGTCCAATTGATTTAATACTCGTCGAACATCAACTGCGAGCTCCGTAATTGTTCACTCAGTGACGCTGCCATTTCGCGTGTTTGCGTTTAATTTTCAAGGCCACATGTTTAGTTAAATTAATCGAATTGGCTTATTTTCAAGAGGTAAATTTCTTTGCATCATTTCGACGTGAACTACGTGGAGTGAGTCATGGCGTACTTGTAAATTACTATTTACAATCTAGTTCTAATAAACCGCAACTATTGCTACAAATAGGGTCGAAAGTGGCGCAACGAACGCTATGTTCGCAAATAACTTCACACACCTATGTGTAGATCTTTAGTTGGCAACTACCTAAATATATATGTCGAGTTTTAAAAATATGAGCGGTCTCCTCATTATTCGGTGGCATTTTGTAAAGGAATATTTGTCCAATTATCTGAACTATATCTTTTTCATTTGCGTACTCCTACTAACGGTTCCCAACGCTTAAATTTGATACTATTATGACCAAACCAGTTAAACTGGACTTTGACTTTAAACATTTATTAATAGCATTAGTTACTACGGCTATCACTTTTATTATTGATCTTATTATCTGCTGATTTTGAAATGTCACATGAATTAGACTAAGTCGTTTGAGACTTTGTTTTAAAATACGTTTTATATCATCAATTTTGAAATTAAATATTATTTGAATGTATTGCTCGCGTTTTTGCGAAATTCCCAATAATATAAAACTACGTGAGGACAAGTAAACTGTAAACAAACACATTCAAGCATTGGACAAAGTCGTTGTGTTGCTTAAATTTAATTAAGTATGATAATTAATTCAACGATAACAGCAAGTACTTTGCGTGAAAAGTCAACGAAAAAATCTAATTGCATTTAAGACTGGTGTGTTCTGACATTTATAGAATCGTTAAATTTGGAAAATTCAAGTATTTATAGATATATATATGAAGCCAGCGGGACCGATTATAAATACTTTATAATTAGTCCCGCTGGCTTGATATATCTTGGTCTGTTCTTTCTGATACATGGTCTAATTCATAATTCATCACAGTTTTCACCATCGTTTTGCTATAGCAACAAAATTAGTTGTGTCAATATGACCTCAGTAGACGATGTGAAGTCGTGCTAATCAACGGTTACATATTAGATCAAGAATATCACGATATAAATTACAGCAACAAGCAGATGAATTAATAGTTACATCAAATAAAACAGTTCACCGGTTAATAAAACATTACTTTCGAATATCATGACGATCATAGGCGTTAGACCGGCTCAGGTTTATTTTTAAAGTTTCTGTTTACTTTTTTTCTGCTATTTGGCAAGGTGGCCGATAATAACACCGCCTCAGCTACCTGAGGAATTTCCTGTATGAAAGATGCGATGACGCTTTTGTGTATTATGCATTATAACTTGCTCGTCATACGGTTAACAATGAAACTGTAAGTAAATAGAAGAACAACAATTACATTTTTGGATTGGCTGATATTATCTTTAACAAGTGTCTTTTTTTATCTATTTATTGTACACAAAACACAAGATACAAACGTAAAATTAACTCAATGCATGACTTCTCTGCCAGCTAACTTGATAAGAAAATAGGTGATTGAAGCTAGCTGGAAATGTGTTCAGTGCACACAGATATTCCTATAACATACCCTACGTAAATATATACATTAATATATCTCTAAATAAATATATATATACGTAACATATATATGTATAATATATGGTAAATAGAGATAGTAGATAATAACAAGATATATATAATTATATACATCTTTATGTATATCTTTAATTTTTTATCACTTTTTTGACGACGTTTTTAATTTTTTCCCCAAATGACTGAGACCTAAAGAGACTGCTAGAAATTGGTATAAGTACGACAAGCCGATTTTGTTACACATAACTTTTTTTTTTATATAAACTAGTCGTTACGTTAGTTCGGAATCCTTTTGGAAATGAAAATGTACGTAGAATTGTAATCCAAGATACGCTCAAGTTCACGAGGCCCCTATCGATCCCCTCTTAACTTATTTTCGTGCTCAACGCGGTCACGGCTATGTACCGTGCATCTGAGCCCTTTATAATAGATTCCGTTCATTCTTTTTGTTTGCTTAACGATCATACCGTTATAGTCTTCTCTATAATTAATATAAATTATAGCATCAAGAAAAATTTGGATTAATAATGATGGGTTTTAATTAGATTGCTGTTATAAAATTTCTTAAATTTTATACTCACAACTAAATAATCATATGGTGTCGTTTTAATATTTCATTGGAATATTTTTAGATACATAGTGTTGATCGATCGATCTACTTTCCTTTAAATTATAGACAAAACCAATATAAAAAGAAGCAATGTTTTATAATCGGATTCATAGGTCACGCTCGGCATTGACAGTCGGTTCGTTATAAGCCTCAGGGGCGATGCGGTCGGAGTGAGGGGTTCGGGGGGAGGGCGTCGCAGAGGATGGAGGCACACGGAGGTGAGATCATAGTGGCGAGTGGCCCGGGGAGGCGATCAATATGTACATTGAACATACATACGTACCTAGCTATATAAATAACCGTACCCAACTTCTCGCAACTCGACTGTCTGCTCCAGATACTGCGCCAAATCCCCGTTCCCCTTTCGACCCCCTCCCCCCCCCCATTCGGCTCTGCGTTGCTCATTCTTTTGTTAAAAAAAATCCTACGGTCGAACTATAATTATTGAACTATGCCTTCTTTACATTTTTTTTTCGTATGTACTTTTTGGTCGAACATTTTTGTACAAAAAATATTGTTCTATCGTAAAGTTCTTAAAACACGGAATGTAATATTAATTTATTTACCTATTTAATCCTTAGGTATTTTTGTAGTCTTCTTTTACCTTCGTGCACGTAAAAGTAATAAAAACACCTTAATCTGATTTATATACTTACTATTACGTAAGCAGATTAGAAACCTATAACCAAATAAAAACTTTTTAAACAGTATGGAAAGAAAAATCTTGCTAACTGATTTTCGGCATAACTTAACCTATATTGTACACGAGGTCTCTGTGAACTTGTTTCGTTTAAAAATGACCGGGAAGAAGTTCTCATGATATATAAGAAAAATCATTTAAATTTGTGAATATTTATCCACAAATATTTTACGAGAAACAGAATATTTATTACGCATTTTTATCAAAAATATTTGTTTGTAAAAACCGTTCAAAATAATGAAGATAAGTTTTTCGAACGTTGATTGCAATTTTTTATTCTGAATCTGCAATTTTTAAGATGATTATTAATTGCATACTCATATAATTTTCACCAACTTTTTGTGTTCATTTTCTTAACTATAAATTAAAAAATAAATAAATATTTAAGTTACATTATTTTTTACACAACGTTCTCTAGTCCCGAACTAAGCAATGCTTGTACTATGAGTACTAGATAACTGATAAAAATACTTTTCTTAAGTAAATAAATACATTTTATACATATATAAACACCCAGACACTAGAAAAACACCATGTTCGTCACACAATATTTTTCCTTTACTGAGGTCGAACCCACACCCTCTGGCGCAGGAGGCAGGTACACTACCCATTTCGACATTTGGGTAGTCATAGCTGAAGTGGTACTGAGAACTTGGAATATAATTATAGGTACGGCAGAATAATCAAGAGATCAAAAAAACAACATTTAATAAACTTTTTTGTACTAGAATTTAGGAACGTTCTTCGCATTAGTGCAATGCAAACTAATCCGTTTGTCTGATTTGGAAAAATTTTGCTGTTTCTACATCTTTATATCTCATACGACACAAGAAATCTATTCTATGAAGTGTAAAGACATCGTTTAGGACTTAAGCACAATATGAATGCCGGATAGGTTGTGGATTCATTTTCCTGCCTTAAAAAACGTTTGCCTTCTAAACAGACCGCCGCTGGCAATATTGTGATCTTTAGAAGGCTGTTTTCAATAGCCTCTAAAAGAACTTGAATACTGAAGTCATAATATTATCCATAAGTACTGGTATTGTACTTCTTTTAGCGCGTTTGGGAAAGATAATGAGAAATTAATTAAACCGCAATTAATTGCATTTAATGTATTTTTTCACAAACAAAGAATCTGGCAATTTGCACACACACGCACGTTTTGTTTGCGTAGGGTTTCGATATAGCTCATAGAACTCCGGTGATACAGGGAACTCTACAAAAAATATTTTTTTTGTAGAGTTCCCTGTATTTACAAAATCGATCCATAAATGCCGCGGTTCTGAGGTAACAAACATTTAAAATAAACATACAACCGAATTGAAAACCACGTTTTCGGGTAGCTTGAAAAATGTACTTGTATCTATTTTTAGGTTTCCATACCCAAAGTTTAAAACGGGACCCTATTACTAAAACCCCGCTGACTGTCTGTCTGTCAACAGGCTGTATTTCATGAACTGTTATAGTTAGACAGTTGAAATTTTCGCAGGTGATGTATCCTATAATAACAAATACTTCCGATGCCAATAATTCTGATGCCGCTATAATAACAAATACTAAAAAATAGAAGAAAAAATGTTTAAGACGGGGCTACCATACAACAGACATAATTTTTTTGCCGTTTGTATAGATAATGGTACGGAAACCCTTCTTGCGCTACTCCGACTTGAACTTCGCCGGTTTTTTTATCGTTTTGTTATGATTTTTAGTGAAAGTACTGTACAGATAAGTTATGTTGTCATTTGATTGGTTTTAATGTGGTAAAACACATAAAATCGACCGAACAATCTCCTTAAAATCATTCATCCCTCTTTATGTATTGATTGAAATTGTTTTTAATATGATAAGATTTCTTCGCTGCCAAGCATAATATATTGCACTTCTCTGCTCTTTGCGCAGGAAGCCTCTAATTTGGCTTAGATTTCTTACATCCTTGTTAACTCTTCTCATCTGTGGAGCTTTATTCGTGTAAGAAATGTATTGGTGGGAAAATATTTCCATGAATAAATCCTACTTTACTAACTTTATTTATAAATTTACAGCATAGTTGTTCTTTCTGCTAAAGATGTCTTTTTTTTTAAATATGAAATTGAATACAGTATATTACATACTACGATATTTACTATGATTCAAATTGTTTTATTTTAAAGAACAATGAAACCTATTGGGATTTTTTTCGTGTTTTATGTTCTCGTTTAAGTATAAACTCATTCGCCATTGACATATACAACACCCCGTAGGGTTGCAGACGCGATGCCACCTTTTCATAAAGTGGGCCCCGGCTACCCCACTCACCAAACAAGACGCAGAAGTATAGTATTTTCACTTCACGCCGGTCTTCTGTGAGGTCATGGTACTTACCCGGATGGACCTGCCTATTAGTGCAATAGAGAAGACTGTTGCGTGACCCTACCATAGTTAAAATATCATGTCAATCTATCTGATATTTTATGGTTTTTGACACAGACATACTGAAGGTAAATTTTTATATGTTAAGATTTAGTAAGAAAATAAAATTCTTAGGATTTGTCCAGTCAAGACAAACAGTTAATATACACAACAGACATTAAAATTTGTAGAAAAAGTACGAAAAGATTATCGCCGCTGTGGGAATCGAACCCACTTCTTCGGCATTTGCGGCCTGACGCTTTAGCTACTAAGCTAAACGGCTGATTGTCGCACCGACGAAAATCTTAACGTCTTTTATCTACATCGTTTTTTAGCATTTGAAGCAATGCTTGGCGCCTCCATTGACCTTGTATATGTATATCCTTTCCACTGTACAAATCAGCATCTTTTCGTATTTTTTCTACAAATTGTAATGTTTAATCTTAAGTCCAGAGATTAGGACCATAAAAAAATTAAATTACACAACAGACATTGTTTATCTCTTTATAATACTAATATGTATTGAACGGAATACTTAAGATCAGGTGGTGCCATCTAACAATGTCGATAAGCTCACTGACGTTTTGCACACCACAGTAGCACGTAGTAATGGCTGTGGTTTTTCAGGCGCTGGCGTCAAGATGGAGCATTTCCAGGCGGCGCTGGATCCTCGCAAGCAGGAGTTACTGGAGGCTCGCTTCTTAGGCGCCAAGGTAGAATTAACTGTTATTATCGTAGGACTAATCACACACCTATAGGTATTCTATTATATCGTTCATTATTAAATGTATATTACAATAACACATTGTAGTCCAAAAAAATTGTACTATAAAGACTATTCTACACTATTAATTGATTTTTGACTAATAGAAATAATAGACTAGTTTGTTCCGAAATGAAAATCTTTAACTTTTTGTATTATTTCTTATCTTTTAAACTTTTCAAACGGTATCCATAAATAGCTTGTCAAAATTACGATGATAACGATACAAAAACCATCACTGTTGTTTCCGTGAAAATTCGTTAACCTTAACTTGAGCAGCTGTTTGCAGTGTTTCTGTACAAAACAAACTGCGACTAACAAACGTGAACGCTCAAAGCTCAAGCTAGAACACCGCAGGGTATCAGATTTTATACAAACGCGTTTAGGAGCATATCATCATTCGCTTCGTATATAATCGAAAATCGAGTCTTTCTTTTCCTATTTGACGGTTCGTTTTCTTTTGCAATCGATTATATCTCTCGAATTTGATCCGTGATTGGGAATGGTTTATTGATGTGTTAACAATAAATATTATAAAGGGGAAGTTCCCCAGTCGGCTGTGCCTGTCTGTCTCAAAGTGATAAAGTTACAAGTTCCAAACAGATTGTCATACGGATATCACCAATAGCCGGATTGGTTCATGAGATTCATGACAAAGGTGTAGGTGTTATAGATGCATTCAGGTTTTGTGTAAATTGGCTAAAATATAACGATAAAAAAATGTCGAAAAAATCATGGCAAGCAAATGTAACCTGCGGGTGTAAAAAATATATGCGGAGTAAGCTCTGTTTCGCGTTAGAAACCAGAATGGGGGTCTCTTGTGTTTAATATTATAATTATTGAGTCGAGGAAAGAAACAAATTTATTAATCGTGAACATTTTTATCTTAAGTACGTAAGGACAAGATCATATTAAAAAAATAACTCTCGTGTAACGAGCACCTTACACGTGATAGAAGTATGGAAAATCCATAGGTATGTGCCATAGCTCAGCACAAGCCTCCTCTGTACCTACACAGTGTATTAAATATAAATAGGGCATAGTCCACGCGATCCTGTCGCGGATTGGCCGACCACATGTCTACGGACTATTTGTTTTAAATTATTATTTTGAAAAATATGCAAATTTCTACACGAGGATTTCCTTTAGGGAAATTACATAACAGTTTTATTGGTGCTGGTACCGCTTAGTTTGCTAGAGTGTATTGAATTAAAAGTGAGCGTCCGGACACCGAGCTATCACAGCAGAAGTTAAACTTCTTAAATAGCCTAACTGTATTAGATATACTATGCATAGCTTTCCTCTTCTTTTTAATGTTACCATTCTCTCTCATATATGTCAACTATCGTTGAATTATCGAATTGTCGTCTAAGAAATTATACTTCAAACATAGATATATTTTACTACTTTTATTTCGAAGTTTTCTTTAAGTTATTTCTGAGTAGATTTCCTCTTGCCTCGAATTCGAATGGTCACTGCGTCCGTTTCGATAGTAATGAGTGCTCGCTGTATTAAACTTACGTGTTTCTAATATCATTTGCTTCATTCATCTTGACCATTAAAACGAATACGAGCTCACCGTGTGTCAAATTAATTATTATAATAGTTAATGTGGGTTCGTACCAATTTTTTGAATGTTAACAATAGTTTTCTGGACAGACGTAATAAAATTGCTTTACATATAATTAAACTTTTGATAAGTAATATAAAACGCCCATTTAATTAATATTCAAACTATATCCGTCACTGACTAATATTATTGGACCTTTCCTTGTTGAAATTATGTTATTATGTATCCTATTCTTCATTCATTACATTTATTTGAATATTGAACATATTATAAAATATGCTTATACTCCATTTATAACATGGAATTTAAACGGCCACTCGACCACAAATATTAGAGCAAATTTCATCACGACGATGCATTCAACTTGCACGCCGAGACGTAGAGTTCTCGAGCGTTGTTGTTTTAGATTAGAATCCTTTTGTTCGCCGTCACAAGTTTCCTGTGCTCGGTTAGCTTGTTAGTTAGCTTTTATCGGTTCGGTAACGCGGAGACGTTGTCATCGTGTATCATTCGGTCTACGTCACCCGCGCCGCAGTCTCACCGGTTCTCGCTTACGTGTACAAAAGAAAATGGCGGCGCATCGCATCGACTCGCGCGATCGAAACTAAATCTGTGGGTAAGGGAAAAGCTTGGCTTGGGAAAAGGGCGGCTTGATGAGCGTTGTCCAACAGTTTCTCATCTTAATAAGTATTTATAATGATGCTTGTCGCAGAGCCTAATGCTAAGTATCCACTGCTTACAAAACGTCTCTCTTACATAATATCTCTTTGTTGTCGTATGAATATGCAATGTAATGTCATTGTTTATTGCTCTCAAATTACATGTTGTTCGTTTGATTTTTTTTTGTTTCCGGCAAACAACACAATACCTGTAATGTCGCTCGAACATAATGAATGTTTATTTTATGCGTTCGGAGTGGAATCGCAAAGTGTATAATATTAGGTCGATTAATTGTCGAATGAGTAAACAGATACGGGTAGGGCGAACGCGGGGAGCCCGTCACGTGATCTCTGTGATAACGCGACGGTTCCAGTTTACCCACCTGAGCCGCTTGAGCGCTCGTTGGCGCTTCTATATCGTTGGTTATGCGTTCGTGTGTTATATTGTAGTCTCGGCCAAGTAAGTGATGTAGATATGTAATTCCATTATGTGTCTCGCCTCCGTCCGTTTCGCCCCCCCGCTGCCCCTCCCCAGCTCCCCTGCCTCGTCCTATTGACGCGTCATTTTGCCGCGCCGGGCCATTGCTTTTGTACGTTGTTTTGTTTTATTGATTATTCAAATGATCCATATTATCGATCGCGTTGTAGCCATTTGTTGCTCACCGGAAAGATACTGAGTGAGTATATTGAAGTTTTAAATTATTTACACAATGTATTCACATTCGTACTAGAGATTCAATGTGATATTTTGTCGTGTTTTCTTGGGGGTCGAAATGAGATTTTACGCAGCGTATTTATGAACATACCTTTGGCTACATAGCTCTGGCTAGGTAGGTACACGAGCTCCAAACAATTTCGTCATTGAACGACAAGATGGCGGGCGAACGTAAATATAGTCCGCCGGTGTATGTTTGTGACTTATCAATTTCCAAACATAAATTGTGCGTTCGTAAACCAGCGGACCGAGATAAAAAGTTTCTGTTTATTTTAATTTCATGGCCCTTTTCAGCCCGCTCCACTATTGGGTCTTTTTAGTTGAATAAAATTACTTCTTATATCGCCTTAAATTTTGTCAAGGTTAGTTTGCCGAAGCGTTTGCATCCAGCGATGAGTCGTGATGAAACGGTTGAAGCGGGGTACCCTATAATGTGGCTAACATTGAGCGTACTTGATCGCGTGTTCACAGGTGAGCGCCGGGGAGATACTAATAGAAAGCCAACGTGTGCGCGAAATGAAGACGGTGAGTTGCGTTATCTTTTGTACCGACTTGCGTAGTGGGCATTCCGCTTGCATTATGCCTTCGATTATTGACGATAGTCGCATCGTGTGTGCGTTATGTATCGTTTTGGCGGAGTGTGTTGCCCGGCGCTCGTGTCGCGACGCACCGTTGCATGATGGCATAAGCTAATAATAGATTATTGGTCCGGTAGGTAGGTGGGTGGGTACTTGATGTGCCACGTTGCCGGCGCCAGTCACCTTGACGTCGCGACTTTCGTCAATCGATCTATTGATTTTCGCGAGTGCCGCGCGAAGTATCGTTTTAATTTTTGCCTTTTGCTCGTTTATTTGAGTATTAATTTACTTTAATCTATAACACACATTCAAATTTAGTCTTTTACTGTGCACCGTCATCTGAACCGTTTTAAAATACCCAACACTAATAACTTACATCGAGTAGTGTAAACACGAACTATTAATAGACGCGAAATACGAATACAGAGGAGTTTGTTTCGGATTTCACACCCCGATGAGCGTACACATATTTATGTATCGTGCGGGGCTTTTTGAGCAAGAACATTAATTGTGATTGCGGTAGCTATCTGCAAATATGATATGACAATATTTTGTGTCAACAGTTTTATATGCACCAAGAAAAGAGAGAAAAACGCAGCGCAACACACGGCCAGATGTAGAGCGTGCGTTTTTTATACACAACGCATAATCAGAAAATCATACATTGCGAATATGCTGGGTTGTAGGCCTATGATAAAAATTGGTAAAGCGAGCAGAAAAGTGTGTCGGTGCGGTCGGCCTCGGAGAGCGTAGGCAAGCACTCGGGGCCGCGGGGTCAGCGACACCGCCCCCCCCCCCCCCCGCCCGCCCTTCCGCACCGCATCGCTCTATCTAGCACCAACCAGAATTAATTCCCCGATAACCGCATTGATTTTTGTCTTAATATAAAAAAATAACTTATCACAAAAACGCGGTAGGAAAAGTTAAGTATGTAGTAAATGTTCTATATTAAACTTTTGAAATATTTGAACTTTCGAACTTGAATCACATATTTAATCATTAGTATTTGTGTAGTCCTATGCATATTATAAAGATTGTAATTGTCAGATGCTCGTAGTACACTTTGATATTTTTTGAACAGATGCATGGTGGTTATACAGCACTATAAAATTCTGTTGAAATTACGCGATCGACGCATGTATGGGTAGAGATATCGATTAAATGTAGAAACGAGTAAGCAGACATGTCTGACACAATAGGCACGCTAATACCGCACTGAGAGAAAGAGAAGTAGGCACAGCGCAGCGTTCAGTTAGTCGGTTTGCACATTCAACGCGAAGGGAAATTATAACATGGCGCACTCGGCCTCGCCCCGCCTCAGCTACATAGTGCCGTCAAACCTCATTCCATCGCTTAGCCGCCCGGTTCCGCAGTTATTTTTACACAATCCGACCTTTCGCACCGTTCGTCACCGCACTCCAGAATAAATTTATCTACGCAGGTTGCACTCACATTTCAACATGTATATTTATTACTCGACTGGTATAAACACAAAAACACATACATTAGATATTTTGTTACGCGATTTGTACGCTGTAAGTTTTTATATATTTCAAATCGAACTTTCGTAAACGAGATCGTAATGGGAAGCAGTATAGAGATCGGTATGTGGCGGCGGCGTAGAAGCGTGCGCTCCCACCGGCCGCCGCGGAGGCAATGAACGCGCGGGGCCGGGGCGGCGGCGGGCGGGCTGTCATGCGTCAGCTGAGCGTCACGCCGCGACATTGCAAGGTCCGCCCGTGCTGCCTCGCCTGACCCACTGCGCCGGCCGGCGTGCCGCTTCCACTGTACTAACGATTCGTGCAACTCGCTCGCCGCACTATTTAGTTTCATATTTTAAGTTTATAATAGAAATTATCACTGAAACGAACGAAATGAAACCTGAATATATATAGCCCGAAAAACCCGGCAAACATGAAGTCGCGGTAGTCCGCTATCGCCCACGTAACGCGTTCCAAGGCGGCGCGGCGCGTCATTTGTTGTTGTGAATGGAGCGTCGCGCATGCTCGCCACGCTCGCTTAAGTTGTAAAGCCTGTCGTTTAACTTTAGCGCTGTCATTAGTTTTTTATTCGGTTATAAGCTAATAAAAATCTTTACGATGTCTTTTGACTCACATTTGTATACCCAATACATTCTTCAGATATTTTCTACAGAAAGTTTTTAAAATCGATCTATATTATGGTTCGTTTAGTATTATTTTTTTAATAAAATCAAGCTAAGATATGGGGAGTTTTAGTATGTATTTTTCTATTTTCATAAGACTTGAGATAATTTATGATTATTATTCTTGTTCATAAACGGAAGCGATAAAGTAGTGGTTGGGATGTCGGATTTGTACATAAGGTCGCGTATACGTATTTCAGTTGCGAACACCAATAAGCTTTCCAATTTTTTGATCTTTAATCAAAATTTGATCTTAACTTTTTATCTACAAAAAATTTAAGTAATTTCTGTTCCGTTACTTTTGGTAGTGTAGCCTACATCTGATGTGACCGACCAAGGGTTGTATAAGGGGTAGTATGTAGGCATAAAATAAAGTAAAGACAAAATAATTTTTGTTGAAACAGTTTTGAGTTTCCTAGTTAATGTTTCCCAATTTTTTCAGATAACTAAAAGTGTGTTGTTTTTTACTATTTTAAACTTGTTTCCGTTGCCAACCAAGTTAATCTTACCCCTCAATTTTTTTAACTTATCCATTTGGTCAACTTTATATGTATAGGTAGCTGTCCCGGCAAACGTTGTTCTGCCCTATAAATTATTGAGTGTTATGCTCAAATGATACTAATAGATAAATGTATTCTGTTACATATTCGATTTTTTTTATTTATTAGGATCCTAGTTTCGTTGTGTTGAGTGACAGTCCCACTTCATGGCTTTCTAATATTAGTTCCTTGACCATCTCTCAAGACTTCTCAAGCTTTATCCCGCTTTCGGCAATACCACGATGTCGCGTCCGTGAATCGCAAGTGGTTCAATAGCTCTCCGTCTGTATTTACTCCTTTCGTTTCCCAATCCATACGTCTGAACACAGATTCAAGTACTGCTGAAAAGGTTTTGGCGAGAGCGGATCTCCCTGTCTCACTCCTCTTTTTATGGGGAACTCTATACCTTCACGTTCTAACCAAGGTACGGTGTAACATTTTTGAGTAGATACTGTATATTATATTTATGAGTTAACGCCTTGTTGTGTTAGAGACGTCCATATTGCATTAAATAATCAATATCGTATATAATCAATAAAGAGTCGAAGGTTTTCGTGTAGTCTATAAAATATATACAACGTTTTCCTGTATTCTTTGGCTTTTTTGGCTAAAATAACACTATAACGCTAAAATTAAAAAAGAAATTTCTAAGTTAAAGAAAAGTTACAAATACTATTAATAACGTTAACTCGTCATGTTGCAATTTAATATGGCTGCATTATGTAGCCGTATTGAAATGTACCCTACATATACACGGGCAGCGAGTGAGTAATAAAATTTAATGCAGTACAGTTTTTTTAAGTTTTATTTAAGTTAAGAAATACGAGGGTGCGGTTTTAAGTTTGCGGAAAATGAGGTTGGAGAGGAATGAGAAATTTTTTTGGTCGTAATGTGTTCAGTAACTTGGAATCAGTTTGAAAATTTAAGTCTTATCATAGGTGTAGTATGAAGGTTTTGAAATATGTAATGATGTGTGAAATATGAAAAAGTTGCGCATTATTCAAATAATGAGCAAATAAAACCCTTGTAAAGCATAATGGAAGGTATGCCATCTGTTAACGGTAGCTCATGGCCGGAAAAAACGATGATTTTGGTTGGCAGAAGATTGGCCTTTGGACTATAACCAGATAAATAAATTAATAACCTCTTTATTAATTTAAATTGTTTATAGTGCTAATCTTTGCACTTAAGATTGAACATTAAAATATGTAGAAAAAGTGCGAAAAGATTGTCGCCGCTGTGGGAATCGAACCCACGTCTTCGGCATTCGCGGCCTGACGCTCTAGCCACTGAGCTAAACGGCTGATTACCGCACCGACGAAAATCTTAACGCATTCTTCTACATTGTCTTCTTAGCATTTGAAGCAATGCTTGGCGCCATCTATTGTTATATCCTTTCCAGCATACAAACAACTTCGAATATCGTTTTACAACGATAATTCGAACGAGAGATGTCGCCATTGCTTTTTTAGAAATTTAAATTGTTTATAGTGCTAATCTCACAATCTCACTATGAATGCCGAAGACGTGGGTTCGATTCCCACAGCGGCGACAATCTTTTCGCACTTTTTCTACATATTTTAATAAACCTCTTTATTGCTATGTCATCAAATCATGGTAAATATTTTTCGCTATAAGTTAGGACGTGGTAACTGTACCAAAGGCACGAAAATGACCAAGTAACACCAAAATGGTCCCCACTCCTACACAATGTCCAGATACAGAAATGAATGAAAAACTCTACAATGGCATTCTGGGTGTAATAGAATATATATATAGACAGATACGCAATAGCTTCGGTAATCTTGTGATGCCTCTTGAAAATATGATGATGCCCACAACGTTTGGAGCTGATGTAATTTTTTTGTTTTTTGAATTACTTCAAAAAACAAAAAAATTACATCATCGAAGTCTACCTACTCCTTTTCCATTCAAGTAATGAATTGATGAAGCAACTTGGTCAAAGTCAAAATATTGTCACTATATACGTTTGTACTGTAAATCTGAATCTAATCTGTCAAAAATGGTATTGCATCTGACACCGTCCAGATGCAATACCATTTTTGCTCGAAAGTAATCCGAAAATTGAGAATTAGTTTAAAGGAGAATTCTTATTCTATTCAATACACAGAATTGTAATAAAATAACCCTTCACATAGAAACAGAATCTATTCTAAATTCAGAATATATTCTAATCGCACTTCAAGGAAACTATATTGAAGTCTCTGTTAAAAATTATCGACATTTCTGTACTTGCTAATGAGACTGCTTGAGTTGGGAGGTATTGTAGAAAATCGTATATTACGTCATTGCCTGTACTTTTCTGTCTTAAATTATTAAACAGATATTAACAGTTATACTCAACAGCTTAGATAAAATCAAATACGTGACCTAGCTGAAATTGACTATGATAAATTAATATAACTTACGGTGAAATTTTGTTCACACAACCACTACAAAACTTCAAATTACAGTAAGTATATACACAGATGGGACTAAAATTAAATTTTAAATATAGCTATTTTAGTAGCTTATCTCAAAAACATAGTACACCTTAGCTCTAGTGACTATGACTGCTAGAAAGTATTTGAAATGTAGAATAAAACTGTTGAGTGTTGAAATAATTAGAAATTAGTTATTGAATTTAGCAATATTTGTAATTTGTATTACTAAATAAAAACTATATTTTTTATTTTATTTCCCGACGGAAGTTTCGAACCCTTTTCAGCGTTTATTGTCACGGGAAGGTCTTAAATATTCCTTAATAGATTTTCCGTAAACATAGTTTTATTTAGTAACCTGTAATTGCGTAAATACAATAAGCTATCAATATTTCTATTATTATATTCTCACTAATGTGCACATATTATGCATTTGCCTCTCTGCATAGGCATGATTAAGATTGAAAACTTAATAGGATTATCAGTATTTTTTGTATGGCTTTCTTCTTTTTAATGTGTTTAGAAAATGTATGTAGCATTACTAGGGATACATAGGGTATGTCTTTCTGAAATAATTGTTTAACATTAAATGAAACAAAAATTAACTTATTTTGTAAATGTCTCTGCGTGTGGTATTGCTTACTCCATATTATACAGACATTTTGAATGATTCGTTATACATAAGAAAGTATTGAAGTCCATTTTCCTTTAAATTAGTTAACTTTTGTGAATGTTTGGTTCATTGTAGGTAGTTTTATCTGTATTTATTTTTTATATTCGATTTTAATATTAGTTAGTCTGTATTGTTCATATTTATATTGACTTTAATGCCTTAATTTTTAAATTTGATATCTAGTTCAACTCATTAATCGCGCAATTAATCGAAAAAATGTTATGACGCAAAGTTCAAAAAAATTATTTGCATCTGTTGTCAGTGTACTGTCTCTGTGTCTATATTTATTTAAAACAATAATTCGCGCGTTTTCAAAAATTAATTTCAAACAATGAAAGCGCCCGTTTGATATTGCGGATTGCGAAGCGGTGAGGCGGGCCGGAACTAGAAATAATCAATAATGCAGGCAGGCAGGCTCGGGTTCGAATCTCGCAACGCTCCGTTTGCGCTGCACACTTGCTAGCTTGCTGCTGGAGTTGCGACGGGCCCCGCCCACCTCGCCCCGCACACCCCTCGCTCTAGGAAATTGGGTTAAACAGCACGCGGCTGGCAGTGTACGCCCGCACCGGAAGAGGGGATTTTGGGGTCCGCGGAACTGCGCTTTCACAATGAGCGCGGGACAGAGATGTGACCGAGTATTGATTGTCTTCACCTAGAGACGCAGTTTCCTGCGGCGCAGTAAAATGCACACGCCCCTTAACAGCCACGGCCGACGTGTGGCGCACTGGCTATGTCTTTATTTTATCTTGATCTTGAACGGAATTTATTAGAACCAAAAATGGTTCACTCTTTCGTGATTTTTATTAAATTCATTTCATTATTCACGCGTGTTACTGACTTCGAAAAATAGTACAGAAATAGATAAAAATGCTGTATAAAAGTTATATTTTTTAGTTAAACACTGAAATGAACTTAACCGAGAACATGGCTTTATAAGTGTGCTTCTTATAAAGCCATGTTTTTTCATTACATTTTTATGTTAAAATATGTAGAAACATTACATTACACATTTTTATGTATTATTATCGCCATATATTATATACATAATTATTTCATAAAAGCCTGGATCAAGATAATAGGAAGAGAATAAATCATTTCATTTAATACGTTTTAAATTTCAATATTACCTTCGAATGATGTATATTTGTGAGACTAGACAGTTTTTGTGGAGGCGGAATGGGCCAGGCTGTGGCGGGGTTGTGATCAATACTCTCAGCATTCTAAATTTTGTCTTTATCCTAGCGTTGCCAAGGATCTTTTGTACGCAGCTGTCTGTCGTTTACCAGTTTTGCGCCGACCATATTTGATTGTTCTCACAATTCATACGACGTTCCCTTTACGGTTTGATTTTTTTTCCATAATATTCCAGGTAGATATTTACATGAAGTACATGCCCACACTCGAATACCGAATGTACCTACGTAAATATTATGTTGCCAGCTCGCTAACTTTCCATTCGTCTGATGCTAGGTGCGCTAAAAATAGATATAACAATAAGCACTGCGCAGGAAAATCATCGGTCGATTTACAAGTCTGGTATCAACGTTAATTCTCTCTTAATTCTCGTAGCTAACGCGAATAACATTTTGTTTTGTTTCCACGGAAAATAGTTTCTAATATTTAAAGTGTTTGTTATCTGAAACTTATGTCAACAGCCTTGTCGAATAAGCGTTTAATATTAATTTTGACTCTTGTCTCGATCACGTGGTCTGCATTCTGTACGTATCTGTAGATTTATTTAACCAAAAGGCGTCGTTTCTCATGCGCTTTTTTTTTGGTCGCCAATAGAATGGTTATACGGGAGCGGTGGGGGCAGGAGGCTCCGAAGGGAGTGCAGAGCGGCAACGCCACAACGATAATGCTAACATGTCCGATTGATAGTTGATATGTGTGACGTGTCGCATACACTTTATGAATTTGATGGAATATCAATGACGGCATTATTGCCCTGTTTGGTGCTATGTATTTAATCTATTGCGACTACTGCTACTACTGCGATGAAAATAATTTCATTGCGTCATCGTCGTGACGTATAATTTTGTTTAAAATCACAGTTATAGATAAAAATAAAATATTAAGTAAAATAGAAAAAGAGTACGTACTCAGCAAAATTTATATTTAAAATTATGTATCACATTACAGGGGTATTTCTATTACATAATTTTTGAAGGTTTATACAGACTGCTAAGCCGAATCGACATTGACACGCAGAAAAAAGAGAATGACATGTTTTTATACATCAATGGAAACTTTTCTCGTTCAATTGTTAATAATAGTTTTTCCTTAGCTATGTATAACTATAATTAATGTAATAATGAAATAGTCTTATTTAGTTCTTCGCTTATTCTTGACACAATGGAATGGTTTCATTTAATCTAGTAAATGTGTTAACGGAAAAATGTATACCAGCATTTTTAATTTTGATTACTAAATTATTACTCTGTAGATATATGTTGTTGGCGATAAAAATATGTACCACCACATTTATCGCCGTCTTCTGCGTGTTTCTTGATAGTCTCCATTTTATTTGCTTTATAACACCGTCTGTCCGAGATTTAATGTTAACTTACTGGACTTCAAATATCCACTATTACCCCTTCACGTTTATCGCGCTCAGTGCTTCGTGAACACACATATATATACACACGTTTAGGTGCCCACTTGCGGAGCTACATAAATATATCTATGTTTATGTTGGTATACATCGCGGCACAGACGCCTACGTAACACGTCCAGTAAGCAGTTTGTTGTGGGGCACGAGCGCCGATATCACGTACTCGTTCGCCGCAGGTCGGTGGCACTCCGCCCGCCACCCGCCGTTGCCACCGCACCCGCGTTGCGGGAATAATCGGTCAAGTCGATTTCGTACAAACGTTTTACGTGCCTAACGAGATTTATTTATCGAGTTATATGTTTAGAAAATACATTCATTGTGATATTTAAAACTGTACACTAATCCGTAATCACATGTTTATGTATAAAATTTTTGCAGTTATTGAATTATTGTAGGCCGTTGACCCATTAATTATTTTTCATTTATATACTCGATGATTGTTTCGAGTTTTTCTCTGGAACGGTTTATGAGAATTATTAGCAGTTTAGATTTTTTATACTGATTTAACAATGCTCTCGGCCTTGTATCCTTGTAAAATGGCGCCTCGCCCGTCGTTATTATTATTACATTCGGAGCAAACTTCGTGACGATCTCCATTCTCCACTCCCCCCGCTACTGCTCCCCGCGGATGCGTATCCGATTGTTGCGAGTCGCGACTGGCGTTTACAACTTGTCAAACTAGTTAGGTTATTCCATCGGTTAAAGTGAAAATTCGATAATGATATATAAAATGGATTTAATATTTAATAAATAATTTGTGAGTATGAATAGTGATCAGTTTAAAGTGAAAATAAATGTGTAAAAACGAGTTTTATTGGGCGAGTCATATGTAAAGACGCCATCTTTCTTTACAGATGTCAGCTGGGTCACAAATTCAGATGGCACCACAAACTACTGTCAACACGGGGCAGCCACTACATAACCAGGACTCCAATATGAGCACAGGTAAATTGTGAATTGGTGATAAAGTGGAATAAAATGTACGTGATGTGTTCAGTGACTAAATGTTTACTACATACTCGGCCGCTGTTTTAAGGCTAACCTCAATTAACCTGGAAGATTGAACGTTCGTGGAAAACTGTTTGAGAAAAGGATTGTGACGTTGCCGTAAAGTGTATAATGCCGGATAGGACTTGTGAATGTGTAGTTTTTACTTGTGTTTTATGGGATAATTACTTAGCACAATGCAAGATTGTGAAAATGGACTTAACGTAAACATCATCGGACTTCACAGCTTACTATCAAAAAGTGAGTTTATTGCATTCACGACGCCTAGTTAAATTGTAATGGTAAATCTTTATGATGTCAAATTAACTATTATATGTCCTGAGTAATTTAACAGCAGAACTTATCGGGAACACCTAGAGATTTCATGCCATCTCATATTAATTTATTTAGTTTTATACTGATTATTTCTATTAGCACAAACCTTTAGTATTATGTTTAATATTACAGGGTCTTCACATAGTGACAAAGAGATTGATGCTTTAACCCCTGAGAAAACTGCTGCTATGCGAGGCTCAACTGTTGGACCTGGCAATGCTCTTGTTCCACCAAGTGGTGCTACACCTACAATTGCTGTGCCTGAAAGAAAACGGAAGCGAAAAGGTAACGTAATAAATTCATAACTTTATTTGTTAAATAATTGAACAGTAAAATATTTTTTCTGCATTTTCTAGGACAGGAAGGTTGTAACGTTTAATTTATCAAGATGGTTAATTAAAGGATTATTTAATAAAAGATATAGTTTGTTAAGATGTTGTATTTATCCCTTTAGCTTATAGTTACAATCCCTGGACTAGCTCACATACAATAGTGTACAAAATATAGAATAATAATATTTTATTGAATTGTAATGAATTTATTAGGTTCAATTGAATTTTACTTTTATGATGCAAGTACTGTATTTTAAATGTACCAAAATAATCTACTAATGTTTGGCTTTATCTAGCTTGTTTGTAAGGTCTCATAATGTTTTCCTATAAATTATGTTCTAAAAACACATTTAAACATTTTAGGTGAGGAAGGCGTTGGTGGTGGTGGAGGAGGTGGTGGAAAACAGAGACATAATTCGTCAGATAAAAATATTAGGGAATACTTTTCCAAGCACCCTTCATCAAGCCCCGTGAGACATGCAGGAGCAAAATCTCCATCACCTCAGGGCGCTAACTACCCAATGGTAAATATAGTTTGATCATATAAGAAAGTGAAGCAGTTTAGATTTTAAACAATTCAATCAATAAAATGTAAATTTTTCCTATTACTGTTTGGTATGTTTGTTTCTTTTTAGGGTTCCATACCCAAAGGGTAAAACCTATTGCTAAGAATCGGCTGTGTGTCTGTCTGTCAGGCTGTATCTCATGAACCGCAAATGGTAGTTAGTTGAAATATTCAAAGTTGATGTTTTTCAGTTGCTACAACAAGAACTATACTAAAAAACAGAATTATAAACATTTAAGTGGGCCCCACATTCAACAGAACTGTTTTTTTTGTCATTTTTATAGATAATGGTATGGAACCCTCATAATCATTCCGTCAAAATCATTTAAAATGCAAAGTTTTAAAGGTTTGATTAGAGTTTTGTAGGTTGTATGTAGTATTATGTTATCAATTAAATTTTCTCAGTACCCACCGTCACCCTCGGCAATACTGCCTCCGGGAGCTGACTTCTTACGTTCCGCCTCACAACAGCGACCACATACTTCTGTTAAACAGGTACTGTGAATATTAATCACATACATTTCCTTAATTAAGTTTTTAAATGAAAATGATTTGAAAACAACATGTAAGATTTAACTGAGTGCAGAGTATTAAACAGAATAATAAATATTAGATAATTAATATTAATATTCATGCATATTTTTGTATGATTGTTTAAAAAAAAAAGTAACAGCCTATACATGTCCCACTGCTGGGCAAAGGCCTCCTCAATACAGAGGGTATCAGGGCATAGTCCACCACGCGGCCCCACTGCGGATTGGCGGACTTCACATATCTCCGTTTCCTCACGGTGTTTTCCTTCACCGCGGAGCACGTGATAAGTCAGCACTTAAACTAAAAACTTCATTGGTGCCGGCACCGGGGATCGAACTCAGGTTGCTCAATTATATTGAATTGAAGGACACTGAGCTATCACGTCTCGATTGTTTATGCAAGATAATTTTAAAAATAAAGCCATTATGAATTTCATCATCATTAAAAAAGAAAACTAAAAAATACTGGTGGTATGGTGACTGCAATTTATTATATCTATTACAAAAGTCCCCATATTCCAAATTGAATTATTTCTTAATGTTATCTGTTAATATGATTAAGGAATATGTGTTATAACTGGTGTTAACAAATAATTATGTTTTGACAGATTCAAACAGAACTGACATGTCAGAGGATACAGGAGTTAGAAACTCAGGCTTCTTCTGATTTAGAACTAAGGAATAATAGAATAGAAGAATTAACAAGAACTAATGAGGAATTAAAACATCAAGTTCAAGCACAGAGCAAGGTATGCCTTAGTTGTGTGTTACTTTATAGATTTAACAAGAGAAAGTTTGCAGAGAAAGAAATGTTTTTGACATTTATAGGTAATAGAGCAGCATAAATCACATATTAACAAATGTATAGATGTGGTTAAGAAATTGTTAAATGAGAAGAGTACTATTGAAAAGAAGGAAGCACGACAAAGGTGTATGCAAAATAGACTAAGGCTTGGCCAGTTTGTCACCCAACGAGTTGGAGCTACCTTTCAAGAGAATTGGACTGATGGATATGCATTTCAAGAACTCACTAGGTGTGTTATTGATACAATATATTTTTTTCATTTATAGTATTTAATAATTGTTCAGACCTGCATAAAAATAGGGATACAAATATAACATGAATAATTAAATACTCCCTTTTATATATAATAATAAATTTAGAAGTAATGGGCCATAGGTTGTGTGCCCTAGAGATGTTTAGATTGCAATTAATAATACATGTGGACTCTTTATCTATCTATATAATGTATGAAAATGAATCCCTATTTCCCTTGGTCAACCCATCACATGTGAACAGCTGGACCAATTTCACTTTTGCTTCTTTTGTTGTGTTTTTTATTATAAGGAGAAGGTTCTTATGAAAGAAAAAAATTAAAAATTTGCCTGAAATTGTCTAAAAACAACACTTTTCTATATTCCCATACAAAAGATTTGTAATAATACTTAAAAATCAATTTGAACTTTAAGACCATACCATAAAAGTTTAAATGTTAGTGGAGGGGTTCCGGGAAGGCAAAAAAAGTGTGTGAATGTGGTACAATATCACTTGAAATGTGAACGTCTCTTTGCTGTGAATCACTACATAGTATAAAACAAAGTTGTCTCGCTGTCTGTCTGTCCCTATTAATGCTTAGATCTCTAAAACTACACAATGGATCTTGATGCGGTTTTTTTACTAGATAGGGTGATTCAAGATGGAAGGTTCATATGTATAATACATTGCACCCTTGCAAAGTCGGGGAGGGTCGCTTGTTTTAATATATATTTCGGATTTCTTATGTGTAAAAGTAATTTGCTGATTGACAGTTGTAGCTGGTGTATGGTGACAAGGCTTCTTAACTGATAATTTTGACACTAAATAAACTTATTGAAATGTGGATGGCATTTTGTGCAGTGCCAATTTTGTCGCAGTTGAACTATTTGGGGTTACAATTAATTCATGCACAATATTATGTAAAATCCTTGTTTACAAAGCATGTTGCAACACAGTGGATTATAAATTGTATTTAAACATTTTTTTAATTTCACTTGAATGAAATAGGCGGCAGGAGGAGATAACAGCAGAAAAGGAAGAAATTGATCGTCAGAAAAAATTATTGCTGAAAAAGCGGCCGTCGAATAATGAAGGTGGTGGTGGAAGAGGGAAACGGACATCTAGTGTGTCAGCACCTACAACACCTCAGCCTCAACCACTCCATAATGGAACTGATGCACCCACCTTTCTTAAGCCTGATCCTCTGCCCAGTATGACATGGCAGGAGTATTATGAAGCGGATGAGATTTTGAAAGTAAGAATGTTGTTGAAATTACAAATTTATAACAATTCAAGAAAATCTTGCAATGTTCCTAATACTACAAATTCTTCACCCTTCATTTTAATAATCTTTTTGAATATTTTTTTTATCATTTACCAAACAAGCCAATTTATAAAATGTATATTTTATTTGTAGTTAAGACAGAGCGCCCTTAAAAAAGAAGATGCAGACTTACAGCTAGAAATGGAAAAGTTAGAACGAGAAAGAAATCTTCATATACGGGAGTTAAAGCGAATACATAATGAAGATCAAAGCAGATTCTCTCAGCATCCTGTTCTATCTGAGAGGTATGAATTCTAAACTGGAAGCTTATGTTCTAAATTTTTTCATCTAATGACCTATTTGCGGAATTTGTCCTGTAATCTGAGATGTCTTGTAAGCAAAAGCATTTGTGTATAATAGAGATAGGTATTGCAACCTTGCATGAATCTTAGGTTTTCTTGAATGTTCGTCCATTAAAGTTTTGTTGGCATTTATTGAAATCCATTATGAACAAAGAGAAACATGTTTGTTTATGTTTCTCTATTGCATGCATGTATGCAGTAATAGCATAGCAATTATACATTTTTGTGTTCCAAATGATATTTTGTAATATTTATATTAATTTAGTATCCAATCATATAAATGTATCAATTTTCAGATACTTGCTGCTGATGCTTCTTGGTAAAGGTGGTTTTAGTGAAGTCCACAAAGCATTTGACCTAAGAGAACAGAGATATACAGCTTGTAAGGTTCATCAGCTAAATAAGGATTGGAAAGAGGATAAGAAGGCCAACTATATCAAGTGAGTCCGTATATGAGTCCTGCTCACAACAAATATTCTCTTCTTTCTTAATTTTATTATACTTGGTAATTTTATTCATATAATCTTAAAATTTTTATTTTTAGTAAGTAATTATATAAGGAGAATTATATTGTACAGTATAAAAAAGTCTATAAAAATGAATGTTTTACACTGAAATTTTTTTTTATAATTATGCCCATTGAAAAATATGAATGTATCGAGTGAAAAACTTAACATAAAATTACCATAAAATTAACTTATCTTTCTTATTTAAATATATTTTGTCCTTTTCTGCTTTAGTGTAACAGATCCAATGTTTGTTTCAGACATGCGTTACGGGAATACAATATTCACAAGGCCCTAGACCACCCAAGAATTGTTAAATTATATGATGTATTTGAAATTGATGGAAATTCATTTTGTACAGTTCTTGAATATTGTAATGGTCATGATCTCGATTTTTACCTTAAACAGGTACTACATGTTTTAGTTCAAACTTTTGAGGGTTTTTATTGTAAAGTTTTGGCTAACAGTTTTATAATTTTAGCATAAGACAATTCCGGAGCGAGAAGCACGTTCAATTGTGATGCAAGTAGTATCGGCGTTGAAGTATTTAAATGAGATAAAGCCACCTGTGATTCATTATGACCTAAAGCCTGGAAATATACTGTTAACAGAAGGAAATGTATGTGGTGAGATTAAAATAACTGATTTTGGCCTCTCTAAAGTGATGGATGAGGAAAATTATAATCCAGACCATGGTATGGATCTCACAAGTCAAGGCGCAGGCACTTATTGGTAAATATATCTCATATATTTTTATACCCATTCATTGTGTATATGTTATTTACTTGAAATTTTTTTATGTATCAGGTACTTGCCACCAGAGTGCTTTGTAGTAGGCAAGAACCCACCAAAGATCAGTAGTAAGGTGGATGTGTGGAGTGTTGGAGTAATTTTCTACCAATGTCTCTATGGCAAGAAGCCATTTGGTCACAACCAGAGTCAAGCAACTATACTAGAAGAGAACACTATTTTAAAGGCAACTGAAGTTCAGTTTGCTAACAAACCCACAGTCAGCAATGAGGCTAAGGTAATTTAAAGATTTTTATTATTTGTATTACAAATTGAACTATTTAGATTTATATTGATACTTTAAAAAGGCTAATAAATTTGATTCTTTTATTAATATGTATCAAAACAATTTTTTCATGTTTTTATCGACTTTCTGTCAAGTATTTCAGTTATTGGTAATACTTTTATGAGACTACAAAGCAATTACCACTGAACTGCTTGTTCACTGCCTTGGTTAGAGATTATGAACGGGGCGCATTAACTTTTTACTCATACATGTATAACCTGACCGGTCTGTCCATTCGGACGCGAGGCGAAGCCGCCACCGCTCCGTCCCACGAGCGCGCGACATAACACGAGGCGTTTGGCACGTTCCAGAGTTTCATCCGCGCGTGCCTGGCGTACCGCAAGGAGGAGCGCATCGACGTGTTCGGGCTGGCGCGGCACGAGTACCTGCAGCCGCCTATGCCGAAGCCGCGCGGCGCCGGCGGCCCCTCCGCGGCGGCGGCGGCCGCGCCCGCCTTCAACGCCGGCCTCTTCGGCGCCGGCTCGTCGTCCTAGCCGCGCCGCCGCCGCCCCCGCCACCCGGCGGCGCAGTGAACCGAGTGCCCTGTACTGTACATAATATGTGACTGTTCGCGCCGCGAGTGACGGCCGGGGGCGTCGCCTCGCCGGCGGGCCGAGGCGCCGGGCGCCGGCAGCGGGGACGGTGTGCTAGTGTCCTATTCGGGGGTGCGACGGGGGGGGGGGGGGGGGGGGGTGACGGGGAAGGGAACGGACACCTGCCTCGGACCCGAGGGGACCCCACCCCGCGCCCGGAGGCCTCTGCGCCTCATAGACATACGTTTTAGTTTTGAAACTTTGTCAGTTAATATCCAGAGTTGTAAAATGACTAAATATCATTTACAGATTAAAATTGTTTAAGAATTATGCTTACTGTTGACTGTATTTATTGAGCAGGTGATAAAATGTGATTCTCCATTTAAGAATGGTTTTATCCTTTTGTCACTAGAGAAAAATCCTTGGGACTATCCCTTGCATATTATATAAGTTATCCCTATTAAAAAAGTTAAAAATACTTTGTGTTTCCTTTAAAATCATATTTATGAGTGATGTGCATTTTTCATTGGGCCAGTAATTTTAAGTGTAAAGAGAACCATATCAACAAGCTCTTTATTTCAGTCGCTATACGATGAGTTTATTTTCAGCAATTGGCTTTTCGTGCTACCTCGGAGTTCTGGTAGATAATGGTTTAGTTCGTACGAGCCGATTTCAAAATTCCACTACTGCCACGAATGAAGTGAGTTTATGTGCAGCCGTCTGCTACGTACAACTGAACGTCCGAGAAAATTTGAGTAAAAATTTTTATTCTCTTTGAAGGCAGATAAATATTGAAGTGTTATGTGCAGATGAATTATGTATCACACATTTTCGTCCCGATAAATGGTCTCTGCTAAATGAGTATATAAACAAATTGTGACAAGGTGAAGGTAATGGGCAGGTTACATGGCTCTAAGCTCGCGGGACTTGATCGATGGAGTCAGCTTCGGATAGGTCGAAGTGGAAATCCCTTGAGGAGGAGGCCTATGTTGTTCACCTATGAGCGACACGTACGACTAGTCGTTATCTTGAGTACAGTAATATCCCTAACTTAGCGATAGGTGAGACCAAGCCGAAGTTATTTTGACGAAGAAATCGTCATGAAATCAAAAAAAAGGAGGTAGTCTGGTCGGGTCAAAGATATTTTTCTGCCGCAATATTTCCTCGTAGAAGTCTAATTTTACAGAACAGGCTTATTCTTGTTTTGTTGAAGAAATACGTTCTTTGTTGGAGTCTGTTTTTTTTTAAATATGTTTTTCAATTATATTAAGGCCACCTCACACCTGAAATTCCCAACCGTCATTCGATCTTATGGCTGAACTGCGTCTAAAAAGTAAAATTCTTTCATTTCTTACTCTTGCATTTTGACCTCATCACTTGTCAACTCATGGTTGTGGAGGAATCCAGTAGTTTTTGATCGTGAGACTAAAGATCAATCGAAGATATTTAAAGATATTTAAAATCGCTTAAGTCGACGTATTACTATACTATAAAAACCCCTCCATTCCAAACGAAAAGATAATTTTGATGTCCTAGAGATGTGCAAACACAAATTTACAAATAACCCTTTTCACATTGGATTTCATTTGTAAAGGTCACAAAACATGAATGGGTTGAATGAATTTAAAAGAGATAAAACATACTGTTAGAAGGAGATACTTGTAATGCGACGTTGTGGCAACGAATGAAAAAGTCTGGATGTATGAATCAGTCAGTTGTAGTTGTATAGGTGTTATAAATGTTGTTTCTTTTTTATTTAATTAGTGGCAAGTAGCGTTACCCGTGTGTTACACGTATGTCCCGATTGTAACGACACGCTGTATATCTAGCGCCTGAAACTGTTCCTGCCTGAAATTTCCTCTGGGAATACTCTCTTCTAAAGGAACTGGATGTGACTGGTATTCGGCTGGCCTAATACCAACTTCTCATATTTCATGCCTTCAGATGAACACATGTATTCAGATGAACACTACACCGTTAAATCACTATTTTTACAGTTTTTATCAGCAGCTTTGTCTTAGAACATAATGAACCGTCCATAGCTTAGCTTCCAAGGAAACGGGAGTTTGGTTTTTCTGGTATCGTAAATTACCTTCATACTCTGCATGCCCTTAACGGCCCTACTTCCAATATATAGGCAAATGAATAATCAAATCTAGATTTGCCAATATTTAAAACGTACATTTGTCAACTAAAAACTGAACAAGCTTTTCGTACTTTTTCTACAAGTTTTAATAAAAAAAGTTTGGTTCATTTGTCGTTAACTATATAATATACCTATATAGAATGTATATAGAGATTTCCACCGATAATTGACTCATCACGATATATCTGGATTCCTTTCGTTGAGTGGAGGTCAGCTAAGAACGGATATTATGAAATTCCACAGAACAACGTTTGCCGAATCAGCTACTATATTATATTGTAGACATATATATATGTAACGTCGAGTGTAAGATGCAGGAAGCTGTTTTAAGAAGTGATGTTGGTGCTTATCTACTAAATAACAAGAAGCAGGTTAAATACTATTTACAGCATTACCAACTGTTCAAAAAATACTGCTATTTCTACAAGCAATTGAAAAACCCATTTAAATTAAACCAAAATTAGACATTAAATTTCAACCAAAACTAAAGTTTTGGTTGCCTAAAAACTTCCGTTGTAAATTTTTTTTCTAAATTTATGAAGAAAATTCTTAAGTTGGCATCCGTGACTATTTGAGCCAGCAAAAATACGTTGCAAAGCTAGAATCGACTGTATTTAAAGTGTTGACATAAAGCATGGCTCAATCGTCTAGTAGAGGTTTCTGGTCTCTTGAAAATGGGTCAAATCCAACTGGCAAATGGCAGTTTTAGCGAGCCTATAACGGCTAACGCGAGGGTTCCTTAGGGGTCGGTAATTTCTGCAATTTTTGTCCTGCTGTATATTAACTGCTGATGCCCACAGCGTAAAAGTGGAGAACTAGGCGTGTTTCTTTGTCGGGATTTAGAGGTCTGGAGGTCACGGGGCAACAAAGGAGTGGAGGCCAGTGGGATTTTCAGTCGATTTTTCGACTCGTCGAAAATATAAATATAATCGGAAGCAAGAAGTATGAAAAAATATGAAAGGTAAAGTGACTAGTGTTTACTAGTCTGAATCTGATTTTTTTCCGAAGTCTATTGCGGCGGCCTCTCTTTTGTGGAGGCCCCGGGGCTGTAGTCCCGGTTGCCCTTCCCTAAATCCGGCCCTGTGGATCGTGTGTGAAATACTGTTGCCATTGTATACATAAATACATATACAGATAAAACAAAAAAATGTGTCACAAAATTAGTTACCGCTGCTAGGATTCGAACCTGCGCATTTCAGATTATACGTCCAGTCGCTCTAGCCACCATGCTAAGCGTCCATCGCGGGAACATCCTCACCTCGCGAAAATCTACGTCTTAACTAACTCCTAGCTACTTTGTTTTTATTGCATTTTAACAATGGTTGGGGTAATCTTATGTAATTCTTTTACAGCAACCACATTTTCTCAATTAACATTTTAATAATGTATATTTGACAACTAGAGATGTTACGTTTTGTATTAAAGTTTGGGCTGGTGCTGCAAATTCCATCTAGCTGCTTTGGAGTCAGTGCAGTGGAATGAGGAGAGTCATTGGTACCCTGACCTAATAAGGACCAATATATCTAAGACCAATATACCCTATAAGTCTGTCTAAGTCGATTACCTATATAAGTAGAATTTAGTCAGTATCGAGTTGATTTGTAGGTTAAATTTCGAAGAGTGTGTACAGTAAAAAACTGACCATCTTCTTTCTATTGAAGAAAACGAAATTAGAATTGATTTAATAAATATTTTAAAAGAACAAAATTAAAAAATATATTCAAACACTGAGTACTACTCTAAGGGGTTATAAAAATCTATAAAATGACGTATTAATAAAAAGTTGTATTAATTGCAGTGGCGTCTGGCTCGGGTGGACTTTCATGATTTACTAGCTCGAGATATTCTATAGACCTATTCAGCGGAGGCCCTTGGAACTCGGCGAACTGGACGAAAACATTAATTAGAGAGAAAAGTTGTTTGCTTCGTAGGTACTTATAATCGCGGTTTTTACTGTATGGGCAACTTTTTCGAAAACCATCGATATTAAGCATGATTATTTATGAGCAGGTAATCCGTAATTGCTATGTCAAACAAATTCTTAAGAAATAAAAATAAGTATAACGTCATATAAAAAGTGTACGTATATTTATTGGAGTTTTTAGTTATATTCCTTAGTTAAATGCATTGAATTTAAGGTTTTTGTTTTGTAAATGAAACTAATTTTACGGATTTATTGCGTTTATTTTTAGTTTTAATTCCCGACGTTTCGAACCCTTTACAGCGTTCATGGTCACGGGACAGTTTTTGTTTTGTTTTGTAAATGTTATTAATGACTACAAAGTCATTAAAATTCAATTAATAGGTTTTGATGTATTAATTATGCATTTTGGCTTATTATACTAAACAACAAATATTTGAACATCAAACGCAGTAGGTTAATGACTCCCGTAACACTTTTTCCTAGTAGGCTTTTATTATTTTGCAGCGTATTTGCTCTTAGCGGCACTTATTTTCATTACTCAATAGCGCTCCGTGATAGCTAGCACCAGGTCACTGAAAATTATAACTTTTCACTTTTATTTCACTTCAAAATATGATAAGGGATTTAGGTTAGTAGCGATCACTTTGGCGGATATTTTGAATTTTTGACAAAATTTGAGAACAAACGTAAGTGTTCTAAGTTATCCTCCTCCACCACCTTCGACCCGAGCCCCGCACCCAAAGCACGCATCCAAAGTTGGCTCATTGAGCCCACTGGGAGCGGCCCTCTCGGGCCGGCCTGATACAACAGGCCGGTCCAGTGTGGGTTTCTCTTAGCTTCGCCGTGGGTGACTGAGCCACGGCTGCTAAGCTTCTCCGCCACGTTAAG